TTCAAATCTAAGAAGACCTCAATAGTTTTCCTATGATTCAAGAAGTGAACCCAAAGAAATTTAAAGCTTTACTAAAAAAAAGAACTTTTTGCCCATCATATGAAATGGATAATAAACTAAGATAAACATTGTTTTAACTCTCAGTAAAATAATGATAATCACACATTATAGCATTTAAAATTAATCAATAATTTTAAGAATTATAATTCAACTTAGGGAAAATTGACAGAAAAGAGGAAAAGTAAGTGAACTTGGATTATAGAACTTGTTTTCTATTCACAGCTTACTTCCGATTTGATTCTTTGTCATTATTTTCCCTAGGAGATGATTACGTTCTTAATTTTTATTTGAATATGTTCAAAAGTTATAAACCCTCAAAGCTTATATAATAATATAGTAAATAAAATGGTAGTTAAAAAAAACAGAAATAACTAAGAAATAAACATTGAAGTTTTTTTTTTTTTTATAAGAATGTTCCTGTAAGTTCCTATTTTGTGGATACCTCCTTCTTCATCTATCCGCCACTTTATTATACAATTTCTTTCATTTTTGGTAAAATGAAAGATTAACTTAAAAAGAAATCTGTTTCTAGGGAGTGACATCATCAACATGGTGACATAGATTGTTCCTGACTTTGTTCCCCCTACAAGAAGAACAGCTAACAACTTATTCAAGAACAAGACACCACTGAGAGGATCCTAGCACATAGGGGTGAGGCATAAGCATCTCCCTGTACCACAGAGACCAAGATAGACTATATTGAAAGGGTGGCCTGGCACTACTGAACGCAGCTTGCCATATGCCTTTGATTTCACTGAGAGACATGCCATCTGCCACCACATTCAATAATGATTCTCCCCTCCTCTAAAAAAATATAGATGAAGCAAGAGAAGAGGTAAAAAATAAAAGAGAGGAATAACCCATCATGTAGTCTAGAATCTGGCCTGGTACTAGATTACCTCTGGTCACAAAGTCAAAGCTGGACAAGATCAACTAAACCCTCCCTTTTCTGTAAGCGATGAACTGAGTACAATGTGGCTCACACAGCATGGTTAGGGATATAAGTTTAGGAAAAAGTCTTTGGTATGAAAGTAAAAGCCAAAGATCTTAGGGCTATTTATATTTTAAAGGAGTTTTTGTCCAGGGGCTTGGATTAAAAAAAGGGAGAACTTGCTTCTACATGGTTAATTTATTTGTAAAACTTCAGTACTATTCTGGGGGTGTGGAGAAAGAAGAAAATGGCAAGAAATCAAAGACTTTGGGAGGATATACTTATATTAAGGAAAATACCTAAATCTATTTTGGTATTTTATTTTTTCAGGTATAAATTACCCCAGTGGATATTTTAACTTTATATAATAAAACTACTCTGATACAAAAATCTGTTTCTTATTGACTTGATAAAACTATTATTAGAGTTTTAATACATTGCTACTCTGAACTTATGTTGCCAATAACAGATTTGTTAAACTTTAGTCTTAAAAAGCTCACACCTACACACATTTACATTTGGCTTGCTGTATGAAATATAGAGGACAATAATAAATCTTAGAAAAATCTACTAATATAAGCCATTAATATATACACCGGATATTAAAAGTCTCATGAAAACTGACAGAATCTATGAATGCAGTATTCCACATTAGTGCATTTCTACTAAAGCTTATCCACTAAAACCTACAAATCTGAGAAAAGGGGACCATTTTTAATGAAATTCATTCTAAAATGTACCAACCCATTTGCCCAAGTCTCCTAATATAGTTTATAATATTTATAAAAACCTGATTTGTCATGCCAAACAGAAATTATATATTATTACAACCCTTCCTCTCCCAATGTCTTCAAGCATGCATGTCTGCATCCGCACAAAGGAGATACTCCTTTGTCTCCACCTTCCCTGGAACCTATGGGTTTTAATGTTCCCTTAAAACAACATCTCCCCTTTAGTAGATTTCAGTCTTGTAATCTGTGTAATACATGATTAACCTTAATTTAAAGATAGTGGTAATACCTTGTGAGTGAGAGATAAGGTATCGCAAAGTGTTCATTTTCCTTTGGTTCTGAGGTTTTAAAAAATATACTTGCTTATTTTGAGGTTTCTGGCTATGTTTTAGATCAATAGTGCTGCCAAAAGTTTAAACATTAGAAAAGTGTAGCATCGCTAAAGTGTGGCAGAGACAATAATTTCAATGAGGTAGGTGTTCTTTATCTTTACCTGGTAAAAATAACGATATTCGCCATCAAAAGGGATTCTTGGTCAAAATACATTGGATAATCAGTGAAACAGTTACGCAGACTGAGACGGTCCTCAATTATTAATAATGATTGTTCAAGATATATTTAAATATGTATCTACTTTTCTGAACCATCTCTATCGTTCTATTCTACTCTTACCTTTATCCCCAACCTCTAATACTCCCACTCTTGGTGGGCATTTAGGAAATGTCCATTAAATTTAATTCTGGTTTAAATGAAATTTATTTAAGACTATTTTGATGTAAATTTCTTTATCAAGTTATATAAAGATTGGAGTAATTTTTTTTCAATTATCTGCATAGTGAAACTCAAATATTCCATTACGTCTCAGAAGTTAAACACATTTGATAGTTTGAGAAGCAGCTAACAATCTAGAGGGCTATGCTAACAAAGGATATGCCTACATATAACAGCATAGAATTATTATATTATCACTGACAAGGGCCTTAAGATCATAATCAGTTCATAGCCTTTAACTAAAGGCACGAAGGATCTAATTGACTTGTTCAAGGTCATAATGCTACTTAGTGGGCAAGCCAGAAGGAACATCGAGATTTCCTGGTTCCAATTGTTTGGTTCAGTATGTATATTAACTTTATTTTTTAAGATTTCTTTTTTATTTTTAATTGTGGTAAAATGTATATAACATAAAATTTACCATCTTAACACTACTAACATTTATATTTGCACTTTAGAACCAGGAAAGGCAATGCAATAAACATCAGAGCAGCAAAGAAAAACACACTGTCACCACAGATAAATTAAATCCTAATACTCCTTTTTAGATGGGAGACGTGGTATTTGGATCAACAGCTCTGCAGAGAAAAATAAAATTTTTTTCCCCACACATATCATGTGCCATCCACTAATTAAATTCCCATTTAGGAGAAAGGCCAGATGTACTAATCTATGTTTCACTACTTTAATAGGAAAACTCTATTAAGTCTCTCCCAAACCAATAAGACTTATCTCTGAAAATATATACATAACATATGACAGGGGAAAAAAAGTAGTACCAAGAAACCACAGACATCATCACCGACTAAAATATTTCCTTTAATAAGAACGACTCTTACTGTTTTATAAACACTTGCTGGTGGTACCATCCCAAAGGTAAAAGGACAGATTTATGTCTCTAATTTCTTGTTCTAATTTTCTCTTCTGTTCACCACAGTTCAAACGGAGACACTAAAACTTATCACTATATCAAGATGTTAAGAGAATCACTTTGCAATGTCCTGTTTCTTTAATATTTTAGACATTACCAAGATGACTTTCTCCCACCCACTTCCTTAAACTTTCCCTGTGAAAGTCAGCATTTAAAATTAATTTACTAACCTCAAAAGTAAATAAATAAATAAATAGACCCGTGGTTCTTTGTCTAATTGGGATTCTTTTCAGGGTCAGTAGAAAATGTACCATAAAGTTTAAAGTTCTAAATACATCAATCAATTACTTTTTTACTCTAATATTTCAGTATCAATCCCTTTTAATTTCTGCCTACATTAATGTCAGTTAACATAGATTTAGGAGCTGGATTTGCCACTTATAAATTTTCCTATAATTATCAAACTTTCAATTCTCAACTCTTCTACATAGATTATTATTTAAAATTGGTAAGAGAGACCATGCAATGGAAGCTTTTTTCTTGTCTTCAGAGATGTAAACACCTATCTATTCCAGGTGTTGATGCTTATATTGCACCTTTGATCCAAGAAATTCCAAGTACTTTATAAAAGCCACATTTATCAATATTTCTAAAGCACTATACTGACATGAATGAAGAATACAAATGCAATGGTTTTATCACTGGAATTGTATCAAAGTTTCTACTGTGACACAAATAAATTATGACTATATTTCACCAGCAAATCAGCTCTGTTAGCACACGGGCAGAAACACTATTCAGGTGGTTCACCAAAACACTGCCCTCATTAGAAAGAATGTGAACTTCCCATTTGCCACAGTCTCACCTCTCTCTAGTATATTACTCATGGCTGTTACATTCATTGACATTTCTCACACTTAGGCATTATGTTTGTGACTTCTTGTATCGGGGACACAACACTGGCCTGTTAGTCAGGGCCCAGGGGATCTAGGCTGTTATGGTGACTCTAGAAAAATCACATCAACTTTCTGGGACTGCTTTTACTTCTATAAATGAATTGCTGAACTAAGATCACTTTCAAAGAGACTCTAAATTGCATATTAGTAAGAATTTCTTTTAAAAAATTAGAAGCCTGGAAGAAGTTATAGATATCTGTTGAATAATTTGTAAGTACTTCCATATTAGTACTTCCACATTAAATGTCCTTTCAAGAAACATTTGCTAGTACAAGTTAATGTTCCAGGTCTATTTCTTTTACTAGATTAGAAATGTCTGACAACAAAGATCATACAATTTCTTCTTGTTTAGCCTACAGATAATGGGGAGGCAGCCCTAAAACTTAGGGCAACAAAGAACATTTTCTTCCTGTGTAAATAAAAACAATGTCTGTGGTTTTCTCTATTGAAGTCTTCCCACTGTTCTAACTCTTGAAATCACAATAGATCAATAGAAACTACACAGAAGAAAAAGTGAAATATCTCCTAAGAGAGTAGGGAAAACACCCATTAGCAGCTACACTTGAAAACTGTTAAACTGGCGGCGAGGGTGATCTGACTCATTCATTTCACAGTGCTATGAAGTAGAATTTTAAAACAGTAGTGGTTCTTCCCACTTATGAGCTCATCTCATGCTTTACCTTCATCTCGTGGTGCTGGTCCAGCTGTTCCAGTTCCAAAGGGCTGTCTCCATTTTCCTTCTCTTGTATCTTGGCTTCTGTGTCTGCCTTTCCATCTTCCAGGAGGACTGGGCCTACACCTAGAGTCCTGCAGCCACTGTCAGAAGCATTTCCATCACAGTCGTTTATTGTGGGTGAGGCAGGGCCCGTGGTACTTGCATCTCTTTCTCCATTCACTAAGTGTGTGTCAAGCAAGGGTTCAGAAGTTTGAATAGGAGTACCTGGGCTATGGGTGCCTGCTTTATCCTGCTCATGTTCCTCCTGGTTTTGTGCTGCCGTAACACCGTTCGCCACACAAGTCTGTACTCCCTGAGTTGGATCCGGATCATTTTCCTGCTTCTGTGGTGGATGCAAGGGAAGGAGTTTTGGCTGAAGTGTGGCTGTCAGTCCATGCCTTCCTGGGGTCCTGGAAGCATTTATGTTCATGGCGGAATCCTTCTTCAAATCACCATAATTTGATAGTGTGCTAAAAGATAAAACACAAGGGAGGCATGACAACGTTTACCAGGACAAGTTCTAGAATAAAAACAAGTTTATACCAGCTAAAAAGAGATATTTAGTGAAGACATTCTTTCTCCCCTCTGATCCTTTTAGAAACATAGATAAGAATATTCCCTGTAGCTCTGTCTCTTGGAATGCTAACCACGCTTAAACATTTTAATAACGATGATAAGCCTGAGCTTTACCTGTATGCTCTGAAACATTTCCTCAGGCTATTTACCAATACTGATAGCATAGACTTAGATATGAGAAATATTTATATTTAATAAAACCATCTTTTCCCAAGATTTTTTTTTTTTTACTCCTCTAACATTTTAAAAACAAATATAATGAGCCCTTCATTTATAAACATGTTAGAAACCAAAAGTTATTTTTGTTTGGAAAATAGAATGTATAGTCTCAAAAACTTTATTACACATGCTGCCACAGCCTCTTATTTCTCTGCTTCCACCCCTGATCCCTTCCAATCTAGTCTCTCCAAGTCAGCTGTAGAGATGACATTCTGTGAGGGCTTCTCCACACACTTAAAGGTAAATTTGGCATCCTGACTGTGGCCTACTCTACTAGCCCTGGCCTCATTAAATTCCATTTCTCCTCATTCATTGTGCCCTTGCCATATCTGTCTCCTTGCTGTCCCCCAACTCCCAATAAGCAAATGTATGCATTAAAGGGCCTTTGAGCTGCTGCTCTCTCTGCCCAAGACAACCTTCCCCAAGACACTGGTGTGCTTTGCGTCTTCCCATCTTTCAGGTTTCTGTTCAGATGTCACCTTAAAGAGGCTTTCCTGGATTATGCTATCTATTACAGCACACTCCACCACTGACTACACATTTTCATTTTCTTTAAAACCTCTATTATTACTTGACATTATATAGAACCATAATAGTACGATGGAATCAAACTGCCAATATATTACAATGTTTCTATGAAAATATTTGTATAGTATTTTAATTTAAGATTCCTGGGAGAAAAAAAACATAAAACTCTGGCTGCAGTCTCAAAGAGATTCCTATGACCTAATGAAGAGAAAAGCTAAATATAGACAAGTACTCTTTGAGGGTGCAGAAAGTGCCTGTCTTGTTCTCTGCTTCACCCTACTTCTTAATACAGCACTTGCCATATGGAAAGTGCTCAATAAATACTCAAGTAATACCTGTGATCATGATAATGATTATGGCACTAAATCAACATTAGCACATTAGCAACTAACATTAAGTACCAGAATCTCTACTATGACCTTCATGTTGATTATCTTGTTTCATTCTCATAATAATTCCAAAATGTGGACCCTATAAACTGATATTTGTCTTTTAGGAGATTATATCCTTGGCCTAGATAATTTTCCTAGCAATCTTGGGAGATCTGAATCAAACTGTCTTCCTTTTCCTGGCCACATCCGTCCAGCAACCCGGTGGAAGGACCCCCCAGTAGTAGATCACCTGTACCAAACGTTAGGCTTTCTTAAGACTTCTGAAAAGGACTGTTTTGGATGAGAAGTGAGAATTTTCTGCAATAAGGGACATCCAGGGAATATGTGGGGGAGGGGGAGGGATAGGATGGGGCGGGAAGGTTAGTAAAAGCAGTGGTTCAACTAGCACGTAGGAGATT